GCATTTTCTGGCATCAGTATAGATGAATGTTGCTACTTAGCATTCTATTATTGTTTCCTAACTGCACTTAGGAAACATTTGTCCTTTTTGGATTGCATTATTTACTTTTGTTCAAGTATATTACCTTTTTGATGAATTTGTAGAGCCACGTTGATTATTAAATTGTGTTTCTGCATTTGACTACTCTTGTCATGTTTGCCATATGGATTAGTTGACTTTAAGGTACAATTTATTGCTACATTGATATTTACTTTTGTGCGTATTTGTGTAGACCATTCGTGGGTGGGAGACAGACAAACCTTGGCTGCCAAAAGACAGAGTAGACGAGGTGTTTGTTCACATTTAACATTCTCTGTGGTATTTTCTCGAGTAGGTATCTGTTTATAGTTGTGACAAAAACTTATAAATGTTTTGTTTTTCAGCTGTCAGTCAATATGGACAATTTCAAGACTTGGTTGGAGGGGAAGGAGGGTGAGCAAAACAAGTAAGTTCTTGCTATTAATATGATGTTAAAATTCCTTTTTATAGCCTGGTGACATGTAGGATCTTCCTAATAACATTGGTTGCTTATTGGTTTTTTTGAATATGTGCATGATAGGATAAACACACTAAGCTCTCTCTCTCTGCTTTAGAATGATTTTAATTTTCAGCAAATTTTTTCTGATAAATTCGCTAATAAACCCAACCAGAACTAGCTTTGAAATATTGTTCCCTTATGTTTTAGTCTGTCATGGTTGACGGGAATGACCCTTCCTATTTAAATAAAGTGACTGTATTAGCTATTTATGTGCATATGTTGAAAAAATGGGACAACGCTAAAGCCGAAGCTATCACTTTGGGGCTAGGATTCTCATCCATATCTAAAATTTTGAAGTAGGGAGTAAGATCATGTTTAATAATTCTTTATATGTCTGTATGTACATATGCATTTGCAAATGCATATTATAACAGAAAAGGCCCATTTGGTCATTTTACTTAGTAAATCAATGGGATTAGCAGTTTTCTATGAGCCTGTTTATATTTGTGCATTTGGTCTTCTGAATGAATGATAAAAGTGGAGAATTTAAAAAAAATTAGGGCAGCAGCACCTTAAGTATGTGTCCTAACCAATCAAATGGTATTATATTGTTGAATCAATATACAGTGATGAGTGCTGAAGTTGGTAGTGAGAGATACAACCAATAAAATGGCACCATATATATGGATGACATAGGGTAGAAATCCAGCTTCTAAAGAGAGTTAAAGGAAACTGACCACATACATCAAATCTCTAAGAAATATCCCAGATTCAGGATTGATATTTCTAACTGTAGACTAGTATGATTTTGATGTAATTTCTGTTTACTATTTTTATTTTTCTTTTGTTATGAATTTATTGTTTTACATTTATGCAAATGATCTATGAATTATTAAACTGAAAAAAGTTTTATTTTAAATAAAGCTTTTAAGTGCATATTTCTTTTTTGGATACAAAAACGTAAAAAGAGTAAAAGTTCATTAAGTGTATCGGGCTTTGTCCATGGAAATGGGTAGTGGGCGTGTTGGGGTATAAGACCTGCCTACTTATTATAACCCCTTGTTATCCCGCCGCTATCTTCTTTTCCCCCTTGGATTATTTTGTTTCGGTGCTTAAAAGAAGTCAAAGTCAACAGCTTTCTGCTTCTGGTTTCTTTTCTGCTATGCTTTCAAAATAATTGTTGGTAAAGATTTTTTCTGACCATTTTATCATTGAATATTTGCCTCTGTCTAAGAATTGATAAAATTTTAATTACATGCTTGGAGTAAAACATGAATTTCCTATCACCTATCAAGGTTCTCTGTTTTACTCCTACATGCCGACATTGTTCTTACATGTTCCACTTAATGACTTTTATGCTAACCATCTCTCCAGGACATCTGGATTCAGTGCTCCTGTTTTCACATCTGAAGAAGTGTACGAGAAGATATTCAGTTTGCAAGACAAGGTATGGCTGCCAGTTCTAGTTGATTAATATTGGAAATGAGGATACTCTTGGTTAGTTCTTTCCTTGTAAATGCGCTTAACTTGTGTTCGATGTGGTGCTATTTGTTTAGGCTGCCAGCATTAAGAGAATCCCCAAGCCAAAGCCTAAAGTTGAGAAGCCGGTAAAGAATGAAACTGAGACCAACTCAGAGAATGCGAAAACTTCTGACTCAACTCCCGAGAAGGACACCTCTCAAAATGACAAACCAGCTGGGGACTCAGATAGCTCAACCAATGAAGAAGTTAATGTAGAATCAGAGCCCCACGATGAGCTATAATCAGTTTAACACAACAAGCACGGACTTTTTTAAACTAACTATCAGCCTTCTGACTTAGTAGAGACTATGCATTCCAGCAAATTTACTTTATGGGAGAAATGACAGCTTTGCCTTACTTTACTGTTGCGGAGATTGATGGTTTGATGGTCGGATTGTGTCCGGTGGTTGAAAGGCTGTTTGCTGAAGGATTTTCAGTTTCCTCCATCATCAGCCAGCGACGATGCTTCCTTGATAGCAGAGGAGCATTTCTTGGTAGTGTAGCTTGCCCCATAAAGAGTTTTGGAGACAATACAAATGTTAAAGAGGGTTTTGGTTATGGAAAGAGGATAATTTATGATCCTTATAATGAAATATAGATAGATTCTCAGGCAAAGAACACAAGGACTAGTCTCCTTGGAATTAATCTGTATTGGGTTTGGGTGCTAAATGGTTTAGAACACCCTTTTGTCATGCCAAATGGTTTATGCCAACTATTGGTTCTTGAGTATAATCCATGAGATGGTTCAGTCCCTTCTCTCCACCTTTATTTATGAACTTTATTTTAGTTACTCACATAATAATTTATATTTTTATAAAAAAAATTAAAAATATGCTAATTCATAAATTAATGTGGTAGTTTACTAAAGAACTTGATTATATTTGTATTTATTTTAAAATTATTATACAAATATTTAACAAAAAAAAGAATTATAATAGTGCATCTTTTTCAAAAGAAAAGAAAACATTGTTATAGTGTATAAACAATGAAGTATGAAAGCTCAATGAACATGTTCATTTAATTATATCTATAGTATATATAGAAGTAAGATAATTGATTGTGTCAATTAGAGTTCTGTTATTCTCAATTGAATTAAATTTTTTTGTACATCTTATGTTTTGTTTTTGACAAGGGTTTTTTTTATTTTACATTTATTTATTTCAATAAAAAATATTTGAAAATAATAATTTCTAACTTTTAATGTTTAGAAGATAAATTCATTTAATATTTATCAATTGTAATTTAATATTATTTTTTGTCTACATCCTCTTATTTTACATGAACCTAAATCTATAGTATTTAGACATCTCTTTTACGTATAAATGTTTAAATTTCAATAAATATCCATTCAATTCATTAAAAAAAAAAAGTAAACTAGGTGTACTTATTTCTTAATATACATAGCACATAGTCATCATTGAATAAACAAGTCAATTGAATTTGATAACTTTTAACCATTTATTTTATATATAAAGTATAGATACTACTAAAAATTAGTAACTATTTTATATTGATAGGATGTTTACATTATACTATTGTCTTATATTATACAACTGTTTATCTTAATATACCAATAGTACATGTTATATATTCTTTCATTTCATAATATTTTATTATACATCTAATAATCCTTGATAGGATTATTGTTTTTGGATAAGTATTGTTTCATAACCATATCTATATATATATATATATATATATACAAGTTTTCGATAATTAAAATCAGAGTAAATAACTATTTTCAATTAATATCAATTTATTTTTTTCTTTATTAGCATAATCATACATTTATGTAGTTAAGTAATACAATATAACACAACAATAGCAATCAAAGAAATGGAAACAAATGTATATGGCAAAAGAAAGAGTAAATTGTCACCATAGTTAAACATATCCGATAGTTGTGTAACAATTTATATTCCTTGAATATTTATTTAAGTTCAAGTCCTGCATCTAGAAAGTTGATATATATCATTTAACAAAAATAGAAATTTCCAAATCACAAATGTTATTTATTTTGTTTGAACAATATATTTTTAATAAAAAAAAGTACTTAATGTTTACAAGATTATTATTTTCTTTGGTTAAGTATTATTTTAAAATAATATATTTAGGAGCAACTTTTAGTAATTGAAATCAAAGTACATAACTATCTTCAATTAATATTAGTTTATGTTTTCCTTCATCAACAAAAATCATATATTCATGCAATTAACTAATACAATATAGTTTTTCTACAAACTCTTTTGAAAGTATCAAATTAAAATCCACTCCATCATAATTTATATTTTTTTGATCTTTTCTGTAGCGTAACTATAGGCACCATCTTAGTATAATAATAAATTGAATATTAAATATTAAGTTAAAATATATACTTAATTTATAGTAGGTCATAATTTGTTCAAATTTATAGTTATCATGGGAAGAAATGTCAACATTTTAATATTTCTTTTAAGTTTAATTGTTGATTATTATTTTTCAAAAATAAATTGATTGTTAGAATTAAAGGTTTAGATACAATTTTTTTTTGTAGTGTTGATTATACTAAAATTTAAATTATAATACATTTATTTATAAAAATCAATAAAAATACATAAAAAATAACTAAGATAAAGTTTTTTTTGTTAAATAATGAAACAAATAAAAATTATATTTATTTTAAGTTTTTCAGTTAACTTGTTAAATCATTTTCTTGTAATTTTTAAATTTATCATGATATATTCAATATTTCCTAAGATATCATTATATCTTATATTGTGAACTCACTATAAAAAAAACCCCACAGTTTAGCTACTAAAATCAAATGGCATAATATTTAAAAATCTCTTAAAATTATTTTAAAAAAATTCAAATAAAGGTTTATTATTTTTGTATAAATTCAACTAAATTCTTATATTTTATTTTAAATTAAATAAATTTTTATGATTAATATTTAATTAATTATCATTTATCAAAATATTTTTTGTCATTTTATACTCACTTAACATTGATGTAGATAGTGAAAAATGTCATATAACTATATTATTATATCATATCAATATGTCATATTTTTATTTATTATAATATATCAATATGTCATGTGAGTGTTATATTTTATAAAATAATAAATATCATTTTAACTTATAATACTTTATTAATTATTAATTATAAAAATTTATTTAATTTAAAATAAAATTAAAAAATTATAAAAAGTTTTTTTAAAATAATTAATTTTTTTTAATATTATGTAGTATATGTGTGTTGGTAGTAGCATAATCCTTGAAATAGAATTGTCCTATATAAACTTAGGAAGGGAAACGAAGGGAATAAATTGAAACCAAAAGCACTCCCAAATACCCTAAAAAGGAACAAAAAAAAATAAAATAAAAGGAAAACTGAGAGCAAAGCTGCATGTCTTTTTCTCTCTCACGGTAAGTTTTCTCTTCTTCCCATTCATGCTCTTCGCCTTTCCCAACAGGTAGGCATCTCTTTTCTATGTTTTCTTTTAGAATGATAAAAATTTCTTCCTTTTCATTTCTGTTCAAGAGAGAACCCTAGATCTCTATGTCTCGACTACCTCGTTTTGTTTCTGTTTATTTCTTCGATTTGGGTTGTTGCTTTTTTTTGCATTACAAAGTCTAAGGATGGAGAAAAGTTAAATGGGTATCTCTTGGTTTTAAAGAAAAATGGATTTTTTTTATTAGAAGGCTTGATTTTTGTGTAATTTTGTTTGGCATAGGGCATAAGAAAGTCAAGGATGGAGAAAAATGAAGTGGGTATTTCCTGGTTTTGAAGGAGGAGGTAAATTTTGGTTCAAAGGCCTGAATTTTGTGAACATAGGAACTTGGTTTTGTGCGTCACCGAGTTAAGGATAGTGAAAACTGAAGTGGGCATTTGTTTTCAAATCAAAAGTAAAAAACTTTGGTTGAAAGGCTTGATTTTTGTTTGTAATGGAAGGAGGGTTGGGTGGAAACTCTGTTCCTCTAAATTCATTTGATAAGTCTAAAGTTTTGGATGTAAAACCACTACGTACCTTAGTTCCTCTATTCCCAGACGCGTCTGAGGGTTCCCCTTTTGTTTGTGTACCTCCTAATGGCCCTTTCCCATCTGGGTTTTCGCCATTTTTTCCATTTAGTGGACCACAAGGATCTCAATCTACTCCTGACCTTAACCAAAATGACTTCAATGCAACTGCTGTGCCCATTCGGTCATTTAGAGCAGAACCACCAGCTTCTAATGGCCAAAATATGCCACCAATGGATACATTTGGCAGTCATAAGCACAAATCGGCTGGGGCAAGTTCTGTTAAAAGGAAGGCGAAGAGGCACAAAGATTTGGAGTTTGCAATAACTGCCCTTAGTGATTTCAATCCTGGGATTAGTTTATCTGAACGAGATGATGGTAACAGGGAATTGGTTGAAAATGTGCTTTTGAGGTTTGATGCACTTAGGAGAAGGCTTAGCCAGATGGAGGACGCGAAGGAATTACATTCTGGGATTATTAAGCGTGCAGATTTGAAAGCTGGCAACATAATGATGAGCAAAGGGGTGCGGACTAACATGAAAAAGAGAATTGGGGTTGTTCCTGGTGTTGAAATTGGAGACATTTTCTTCTTTCGAATGGAGTTGTGTGTGGTGGGGTTGCATTCTCAGTCCATGGCTGGAATTGACTACATGGTTGTCAAGGGTGATTCAGAGGGAGAGCCAGTTGCTTTAAGCATTGTGTCTTCTGGAGGGTATGATGATGATGCAGAAGATCCTGATGTTTTGGTATATAGTGGTCAAGGTGGGAATGCCAATAAAGATAAAGAAGCATCTGATCAGAAGCTTGAGAGGGGTAATCTCGCTTTAGAAAAGAGCTTGCACCGAGCCAATGAAGTAAGAGTCATTCGGGGTCTGAAGGATGCTGTCCATCAAACGTCTAAGGTCTATGTGTATGATGGGCTTTTCAAAATCCAAGAGTCATGGACGGAGAAGGGGAAATCAGGTTGCAATATGTTCAAGTATAAATTGGTGAGGGTCCCTGGGCAGACAAGTGCTTTTTCCATTTGGAAATCCATTCAGAAGTGGAAAGAAGGTTTGTCTTTAAGGGTTGGACTTATTCTTCCTGACCTCACTTCAGGTGCAGAAAGCACACCTGTTTCACTTGTAAATGAGGTTGATGATGAAAAGGGGCCCGCTCACTTCACATATAACCCTACTGTCAAGTATTCGAAATCATTCAAATTAGTCCAACCTTCATTTGGCTGCAAATGCCGTGATGCGTGCCAAGCAGGAAATTCTAACTGCTCCTGCAATAAAAAAAATGGAGGTGATTTCCCTTACACTGCCAATGGGATTTTAGTGTGTCGGAAACCCTTGATATATGAATGTGGTCCCTCGTGCCCATGCTTCCGTAACTGCAAAAACAAAGTTTCACAGACTGGTTTTAAAGTTCACTTAGAAGTTTTTAAGACAAGAGATAGGGGTTGGGGTCTTCGGTCATGGGATCCTGTTCGTGCAGGTACATTTATTTGTGAATATGCCGGTGAAGTTATTGATGAAATTAAGGCAAGGCAGGATGGGGGAGATGGTGAAAAAAATGAGTATGTTTTTCACACAAACCGTCTCTATGAATCCTTCAAGTGGAATTATGAAACTGGGTTAGTAGGGGAGGAAAGTTCTGATCCCACTGAAGATTTTGATTTTCCATCTCCCCTAATCATAAGTGCAAAGAACAGTGGAAATGTAGCTCGATTTATGAATCACAGTTGCTCTCCAAATGTTTTCTGGCAGCCAATCATGTATGAACATAACAATGAAGCTTTTCTCCATATTGCTTTCTTTGCAAAGAGACACATTCCTCCTATGACAGAATTGACATATGATTATGGTACTCCACACTCAGATGAGACTCGAAGTAAGGCAGCACATGAGAAAAAGAAATGCTTATGTGGATCACGAAAATGCCGAGGTTGTTTTTATTGAGGTGTAGGTTGCATACCTGTATTCTGTACACAAGCTAAATTTTTGGCTTTTTGAAAAAGGTCTGGGATCTTTCTCATCTTTCCCAGATCATGTAGCTCTATTTGCATTTCTAATGTTTATAGCTTGTAATAGGGATGCAAATGTTTATAGCTTGTATTATGGATGCAGATTGTACTTATGCTGTCGCTGTGGTAACATGCAGAAGAACTGACAATGTATGAAAACAATGTGTGCTGATGTTTTTTGTAGTCTACATTGCAGGAAGTCAATTTATGGTTCAGTTACTTCAGATTTGCCAGAATACTTGGTATTTCACTTTATTCTTTTTTAAGAGTCACTTTTGAATTTTTTTTATTTTATCTGTCTTTGACTCTGCCTATAAATTGGTTTCCCAAGTTTCTTTTGCCCTTGGTAAAATTATTTGTCATTCTTAAAAAATTTCTAGGAGACAAGTATGATCTCATTGTATGCAATTCATGTTCACATGAACAATGCTTTCAATATAAGGCTAGAAAGGTAAAATTGAATAAACTTTGAGACCAGGTTTGAAGTTAGAAATTAGCCCTTGGGTGATAGTGCCTGGTCTTCTAAGGTTCTTATTTAAGAATGGCAAATGATAGCAAGACCACCACCTCCAGGGCCTTGGCTTGAAGAAAATTCTTTCAACCTTCGAGAGATGAATGCTCTGCTCTGTAGTGAATGGTAAAATTTGTCAGAATTTGTTCTATGCTCTGCTCTGTAGTGATTAGTAAAATTTATGTCAGAATCTGTTCTGGCGAACCATTTTCTTGACCTATTCCCACTTCACATAATCAGAGAAGTTATATAATCAAGCATAATAAGTGTTGGTTACTATTTATGTCCTAATATTGGTCAGTCTATCTGCCTGTCCAGGCTGCTTCTGCTGCCGCTGTTGTTTTGGCCCTAATATAGTTATATGATGGTTAGAACTTAAATATAACATTTGGGTCTATTCTGTTCATTTAAACTTTTGGGATAATCAACACTCAACTTGAGATGATATGAGAGATGAAGTCTCAACTTTGAAGCATATAAACCTTAATAGAGTTTTCGAAGCTTAACCGAACGCAAAACACTCGCTCGACTCGTTTGAGTTTGAACTTGATCCAACCTAATTGAGACATAAAAGTCAATTACATGTGATAGTGATAATTTTTATTAAATTATTTTAATAAAATTTAAAGTTTACAAATAAAAATTGACAAATACAATGTATTAATAAGTAAAATTTAATGATCTTATACTCGAGCAATAATATGTTTTACTAAGTTAATTAATGGTAGTAGTTTCTATCAATAGTAATAAGAAGTGAAAAACCATTTTGATTGATAGAAATTAATAGAATTTTTAATTATAACTTTTAATGTCATACATTATTAAAACATTTCAAGGACAACTTGGTGAAACTTCCCCTTTATCGGTAATCATTATTTATGTTATTTTAGCTAACTGCTTCGTTATCTCTTCCTAAGCTTTTCAATCTTAAAATCATGAAACTTTCCGTAGATCTTTCATTTTGATAGTAATGGAACTATTGAAGAAATTTGAGAATAATATGTTTTACTTTGTTAATTATAGGTAATAGTTTCCATCAACAGTAATAACAAGTGAAAAACCATTATTCTTTAGCTTGATATAAGTCATAATTATTATAACTTTTATTCTTATACATTATGGAAACTTGTCAAGGAAAAGGACATGGTGAAACATCGCCAACTAAAATGCATTTATCCCATACTTGTGTCACCTACGTATACAAGATTATCGACATATCATTATTTTTTAAATAAAAAGATTTTGAAGGATTGTTTTCACTAATGCTTCATTACTTACTTGATCGAGCTTGACAAGTTCATTACAACAGTTATCGATGACCGTTCCCGTCTTGAATATGTTCTTGAAACTTCAATTTTGCAATAATTTTCCTTTTTTGGATCAATATCTTGAGCCACTATGGTTCCAACTGGCCACAATGACAAAAATTCCTAAAGTAACATAAACATTCAAACTTGCCATTGCAACCTCTATGAATGAACAATGGTTTCTCTTGTTTTGGTTGATACAGTTGTGGAATTCACTTCCAACAAAAATTTTCATTTATAGCTTATAGGAATAAAACGGTGGCATGCATTTAGGGCTCTTGAAAGACATTAATTGCATCTAAGCTTCAACAGCATTAGTCACTTAAACAAGTTGATATCAAGTAAAGCATCCTACCATCAGGTTGAGAGCATTGAGAGAATTTGCTTACAATGTAGTAATAGTATTAGAATTAAATTTAACATGACAATTAGTTAACGAATGAGATTAATAAGAGACGGATCGACTTACATGTTGCAATTAGCAACAAGATAAAAAATTTCATGTTAAAAGAAGCTGTTTTCCATGTTGTTTGGGGATGTGATTTCTGAGAAAATAAACTGGAAAAATGTGGGCTACTTCTTATTGCTTGAGAATGTTGAGGCTTTTATGAATCACCATTATTAATTTATAAGATGGGATATTTTGACCATAATGCTTCCATAAGGAAAGTGCAACCAAATTCAAATGAATCTGTAACGTTTTCCTCCTGCAGCTTGTACATGCGTTGGTAATAGGAAAGATATTTACTTATTAGAGCAATTTATTTCCAAATCATAGAGATATTACCATACATGAGTTAGGGCGTGCCAGACCCGCCAGCTAGAAGAAAAAAAATTAATAATTTTATTGAACTTAAATAAATAGTCAGAAATCATAGTATTAATTTATTATTGCAAGGGGATACTTGGGTTGAAATTCATACTTAGTTAATAAGTTTGGTTTATTTACTTATTTTATTTTTAATATTTTCAACTTTAAAATTTTTTTATTTAATAATTTATACTTAGTTATTTTGATTAAAGATTTACCGTTTTAGTCATTTTTTGTTGAAAGCAACAAAACAAGAATTTTATTAAGTGCCCAAGGTTAGTTATTACTTATTTATTTAGGAAATGTTTGATTGTTTTCTTACAAATTATTTATGTTTTTTTTTATTTGCTTAGCTTCTTGTGAACAATTGAGTTTTTTATCCCAGATTGCTTTCTTATTGAATTATTTATTGATATTGTATTTAATTTTTGTGATTAATTTTAGGGGATTGCTTCCCATTGAATTTATTTATTGATAGTCCTTAAAGTTTTTAAGGGATTGCTTTCCATTAAATTTTTTGTTATTATATTTGTTAATTTTTATTTGTTGTTAGGTTTATTTAAAAATTGAGATTATTGTCATTATGAAATTATTTATGATTATACTAGTTAATTCTTTTAAGTAAATTATTAAGATTGATTTTTTTTAATAATTTGAAGAAGGAGGATTCAAATCCTGCTTTTTAAGTAAGGAATCATGCACCAACCAATGAACCAAATGCTCGAATGAAAATTTTTAATATTGATTCTTTGAATAATATTCAGTATTTATTTATGTAATTTTCATATGAATTTTTTTTATCTAAGTTAATTTATATTGTCTTCGGCTTTTTTGCCTCGAATGCGAAATCCTAACTCTGCCATTAACTACATTCTTTATTATATATGTCAAAATTTCAATATCAGCCTTAAGCCTGACGAAGCCAACCATTTCCACTACCCTTAAGGCAATATTAGGGACTTTTCAGACCTCTTTTCGCCATCCCTTTGGCGGATGGCGTTGTACACCAATTCACCTGTAATGCAAATCTATACAAGTTGGGAGATGAATTTATCAAAGAAGAGAAAGTAAGTAGATTGTCATCATCGGATGCATGAACTATCAATTCACGAATTCCATACAAGCTTATTGAGTTGAGTAATATAAGCTGAAAGTTGACAGATATTATCAATCAGAACACCAGCCAATAGATAATTCAACAAGGTTTGGGAAATTCTCGAAAGGAAAGCTGATCCTTGGTCCAAATTATCTGAATGACACAAGATTGTATGGAAGAAAGCTCCAAACTTTTAATGTTGAGGCAATAAGTTATTTCCTGATGCTTCAAGTGGAGTGATGAATTAGGAACTTTCACTGACAAGAGAACCTGAACCCTTAGCAACTATGTGTTCAAGAAACTAGCAATTGGATATAAAGTTCTTAAGAATTTTCCCACTGACATCTACTTGTTTTAGTACGAGAGCTGTAAGAGAATTACAACTAGGAAAACCAAGAGGTTGAGGCCACAACCTCTTGATGGGATTACTATTAAGCAATAGGGGAAATGATAGTAGTTTTGCTGAGAGATGCCAGAAGAACCTCTCAAGTCCAACTCAAACCATTAAACATTCTCATTTAAAGAAAGCAAATCGACTCAGCAATTCCACACCTGTAGCATTGATCCAAGTCAAACTGAATCCTGAATTTATTTATAGCAAGGCAGAATTCACCTAATTTATGTATCTAAACCTTTTTAAAGCTAAAATTTCTATTTTTTTTTCCTCATTATCATATTCTGTTCGTGCTTCGCAGTCAGATAGTGTCTTTGAACAGTCAAAACTCAAAACTCAGGATAGAACTCCAAAGCTGTTTCCAGCGGTGTGAGAGAACACATGTTCTTGTTGCTTCTTTCATTGTCATAAGAGACAGAATCTCATTTGGTAGTGTATTGATTCTATCTTGGGCATGATTTTGGGAACAAGCAATGAGGTTTGGGGCAAAATATTCCATGACAGCTTATGAATTTCAACCCAAGTATCCCCTTGCAATAATAAATTAATACTATGATTTCTGTAAAATCTCTTTGCTGCCAAAGCTTTCGCCAGTTGCAAGGGAAAGATAGTTTGGGGGGCCACAATCATGAAGCTTGAATATAAATATGGGGTGCTGAAACTCCAAGTAAATTCAATAAGGGTACGTTTAGTTTAGTTTGTAAAATGAAATGAAGTGAGAACGGAGTAATCATTCCACTAGAATAAAATTAAAGAATAATAGTTATTATATAATTTGATTCATAGAAATGGAATAAGATAAGAATTGCTGTTATGACTTATTCTAATACTTAGCTAGCAAGAATAGTTTTAGAAATAACCAAAAAATAAGTGATAAATGACAAAAATACTTTTCATTATAATATATAATTATTTTATTTTTATTTTTATTTTGAATATATTAAACTATTAATAATTTATAATTAAAATTTTAATTTAATTTTAAAAATAAAGTAATAATTTTTAGTTTTTGTTTTCTCCATTCTAGTATTTTCATTTTTTTTCTTTCTTCTCAATAGCTGGCCACCAAAGATTTGGTTGGCATAATAGAACGTTGATCTGGTGCTTCCTGTGGCTA